GGGCAGCACTGACTCTCACTGCTGGGCTCCTTCCCTTGGAATACAGCAGCAGCATTTATAGGGCCAGCCATACGTAGCGTTTATTCAGGTCTGTAGATTTGATGCTTTTCAGCATCCTTAGTAAAATACTACTGACAGCAGAGTTTTACTATGTTTGACCTACCTTTTGTTCCAGCAGCATATTTATAAACGGAAATGCAAGATTGGGTTTTAGAGGTGATTTAATATTCCTACATTGTGAAAACGTTAGACTAATTAAAGCCTTTAGTTAAACAGGCCCATAAATACCTGCTCGCGTTTGCATGTAGCCAGGACAGACTGTCTGCAACAGTTGGTGTTGTGTTATGGCTCAGAACAATAGCTTTACTGCCCATTTACCTTGCAATACAGTTTTCTGACTAACTTCTGTAAACAGACTTTTGAAGATCAAAGTTCATGATGCAATAGGCTGTAATTTTTTCAAAAGCTTATCTAACAGTGTTCAAACTGATTGGACAGGGCAAACGTGCAGCTATTTAGGGGGTGAATATTTTGTGGGATGTGCTTCAGGAAAGCATATTTGACATCCGGCTCATAAAATCTTTTTTTATGATAACTCTTAAAAGTAGGGCAGACTGACTGATTGGTGTTCCAATTCATGGCTGCTGTATTACATTATTTTGGCCTACCTGAAAGAAGCTGGGAGTTTTCCTTAGGTTCCTACAAGATGTGGTCCTCACAGTGGAGGAAGGGGGGAAAAAAATGGAAAGCTCAGTCTTCAGCTTTGGTCAGCTGTTATTAACTGGTGTGGTTCCTGGCAGTCTTCAGAGAACGTAGGTTTGATTTGTAGATCAGTTTTAGATTGATACTGTAGATTGACTTGGCAAGGAGATCCAGTATCCTACCTGTCTTGCAGGTTGACTTGCAAGTAGATGCGCTGCGATGATGCATCTTTATTTTTCCATAAGCGAAATAGAATTCTTCAGTCTCTAAAACTGTCACTTCTCATGCTTTTCAGTGACTAGTTAGAGTTCAATATGAATAAAATGCGGTGAAGGACAGAAATAGCAATTCACATTTAGGAGGGCTTGGAGGATTCCAGGTGGCATTGATGGGGTTTTTTTTGGTTTGTTTTAAAATTGTCCTGCCAGGTTATGCTAGTTGCTTGCCAAAGTGTAATTTTTTTTCTTCATTCCTTAGCAAATTAATGGGATCTTTCACGTCTTATCCTTGGATTTGAATGTGTAAGAATTGTGGTGTTCTACAAATCAGTCTAATTTGGTTGTTCCTGCCTGCTGAAGAAATGTCGTTCAAAACCCCATGTTTTATATTTGTAAATTGTAATCTCTGTATTTAACATTTTGGGTGAGGCTCTTTTGCATCTCATGTCCAGGAGAACATTTTAGAAGGATCTTGGAAAATGAAGATTTTATTTTATTTTCTACTCAAGAGAAAAAACTTGAACCTATTTTCTGACTAAGTGGGTTGGAATGTGTAGACTTGTAAGGGTCAGAGTGTGGCTTTTCTCCTCCCTTCAGCATAAGGACAATAAATATAGTGCTTCTCGAAATAGGATATACATTCACAGTAAGGATGAGACTTTTAACAAGATTTCCCATTTTCCTATGAAAACAGGAAAATCGACAAGCTTCTTTTTCTAAGTGTATCTTCATGTATTTCATAGTCACCTAACCACCTGGGTGGGGTCGTTACAAGGTAATTTCAGTAAACAAAATGTGAGTGGTATTCTGACATGAAAGTGATTCCTACCTGAGAAGCCTTATTGAGAACAGAGTGTATTTTATGTTTCTGTTTGGAGGGTATCTCTGTGTAGGCTTGCTGCAAACTGGCAGTGCAGTGTTTCTAAGGTGTTATTACACTATTAAACAGTAATACAGTATACATAAACAGTATACCGCAGCTTCATGCGTGGCGGAGTTCAACTCGGCAAAAGCAATGGGCTCTTGACACCAGCATGGGCTCCAGATGCAAATTAATATGCCAGTGACTCAGAATTTCCACTTTCTCCTTTATAGATTTACAGATTAGCTTCCCCAAATGCACAGTCCGTGTTCTTTTGCCTTTTCCAGTCTTTATTTACAACCCATTTATTTTGCCTAAAAATAAAACATAAACTTTTTAGGTTTAAAAGTAGATGTTCTGCCTGTTCCAACTTCCAGCTTTGTAAAGAAATGAGTTTCATTTCCTATATGCGATTAAGATTTTTCTTACAGAATCATAATTTTCTGCAAGCTTCCAGTTACTGAACTGAAGGTATAGGCGGCAGTTTTCCTACACTACTCCTTTTAGTAAACCATTCTTCTTGTAGAAGATGTCTCCCTTACTTCTAGGGTTGAGATCTCATTATTAAGCTTGAAAATCACAGCCGCAAGGAGGTTGCTACTTGGAAATAAAGTGTAGGGTATTTGACTGTAAGAAAAATGTGGACTGACATCTTGGGTGCAGCTCTGTTCTCTTCTTTCACGCTTACATTTGTTCA